GAAGGTGAGGATGATGAGGATGAGGATGAAGGTGAGGATGATGAGGATGATGAGGATGGAGATGAGGCCGAAGGTGATGATGATGATGATGAAGATGACGGTGAGGATGATGAGGATGAAGGTGAGGATGAGGATGGAGGTGAGGACGAAGGTGAGGATGATGAGGATGAAGATGATGATGATGATGATGATGAAGATGATGGTGAGGATGATGAGGATGGAGATGAGGAAGAAGGTGAGGATGATGAGGATGAGGATGAAGGTGAGGATGAGGATGATGAGGATGGAGGTGAGGATGAGGATGGAGGTGAGGATGATGAAGATGAAGATGATGATGATGATGATGATGATGATGATGATGATGATGATGATGAAGATGAAGGTGAGGATGATCAGGATGAAAGTGAGGATGAGGATGAAGGTGAGGATGAGGATGGAGGTGAGGATGATGAGGATGGAGATGAGGCCGAAGGTGATGAAGATGATGATGATGATGATGATGATGAAGATGATGAGGATGATGAGGATGGAGGTGAGGATGAGGATGGAGGTGAGGATGATGATGATGAAGATGATGATGAAGATGAAGGTGAGGATGAGGATGGAGGTGAGGATGAGGATGGAGGTGAGGATGATGAGGATGAAGATGATGAAGATGAAGATGAAGATGATGATGATGATGAAGATGACGGTGAGGATGATGAGGATGAAGATGAGGATGATGATGATGATGAAGATGACGGTGAGGATGATGAGGATGGAGATGAGGCCGAAGGCTCCTTACCGTGCGCGGCGGCCCCGCGGCGCTGAGCGGCCATGAGGAACCGCGGGCTGTCGGGGCAGCGCGGCAGCAGCAGCGCCTGAAGGGCGGCCGGGCCGAGACCCAGCGCCAGCAGCAGCGGCCAGCGCGGCGCCGAGCCCAGCAGCGCCCCCAGGCCCAACACCTGCGGGGGGAGCCGGGCGTCGGGGCGGAACGGAGGACGGCGGGGAATCCCGAGCTGTGGGGCGGGATCCTGATCTATGGGGCGGAACCCGAGCTATGGGGTGGGATCGTGATCTATGGGGCGGGATCCTGATCTATGGGGCGGAACCCGAGCTATGGGGTGGGATCCTGATCTATGGGGCGGGATCCTGATCTATGGGGCGGAACCCCAGCTTATGGGGCGGGATCCTGATCTATGGGGCGGGATCCTGATCTATGGGGCGGGATCCCGATCTATGGGGTGGAACCCCAGCTTATGGGGCGGGATCCTGATCTATGGGCCGGGATCCCGAGCTGTGGGGTGGGATCCCGAGCTATGGGGGGGAACCCCAGCTTATGGGGCGGGATCACGAGCTATGGGGCGGGATCCTGATCTATGGGGTGAGATCCCGATCTATGGGGTGGGATCCCAAGCTGTGGGGCGGGATCCTGATCTATGGGGTGGGATCGTGATCTATGGGGCGGGATCCCGAGCTATGGGGCGGAACCCCAGCTTATGGGGCAGCATCCCGATCTATGGGGCGGGATCCTGATCTGTGGGGTGGGATCCTGATCTGTGGGGCAGAACCCCAGCTTATGGGGCAGGATCCAGTTCTATGGGGCAGGATCCTGATCTATGGGGTGGGATCCTGATCTGTGGGGCAGGATCCCGATCTGTGGGGTGAGATCCAGTTCTATGGGGTGGGATCCCAACCTATGGGGGGGAACCCGATCTGTGGGGCAGAACCCCGATCTATGGGGCAGGATCCCGATCTATGGGGTGAGATCCAGTTCTATGGGGTGGGATCCCGAGCTATGGGGGGGAACCCGATCTGTGGGGCGGGATCCCGATCTATGGGGCAGGATCCCGATCTATGGGGTGGGATCCCGATCTATGGGGCAGGATCCCGATCTATGGGGCAGGATCCCGATCTATGGGGTGGGATCCTGATCTATGGGGTGGGATCCTGATCTATGGGGCGGGATCCCGATCTATGGGGCAGGATCCCGAGCTATGGGGTGGGATCGTGATCTATGGGGCGGGATCCCAAGCTATGGGGGGGAACCCCAGCTTATGGGGCGGGATCCCGAGCTATGGGGCGGGATCCCAATCTATGGGGTGAGATCCCGATCTATGGGGCGGGATCCCAATCTATGGGGGGGAACCCGATCTGTGGGGCAGAATCCCGTCCTATGGGGCGTAATCCCAACATATGGGTCGTAATCCCATCCTATGGGGTGGGATCCCTTCCTATGGGGCACAATCCCACCCTATGGGGCCCAATCCCATCCTATGGGGCACAATCCCTTCCTATGGGGCACAATCCCACCCTATGGGGCACAATCCCACCCTATGGGTCGCAATCCCACCCTATGGGGCCCAATCCCATCCTATGGGGCACAATCCCATCCTATGGGGCACAATCCCA